AGATTTGCTTTAAATCTCAACTTATCACGTAGGACACTTGCTTGCCAACGAAAAATCTGAATATGCAACTTAAAATCTACCGCAAATCCCAGAAGAACAAACGGAGACATAACATGTAGACTAAATCACAAACTAAGAATTTTCCTTGAGCCTAGATTAGTCTTTATTCCCCTTCATTTTTCTTTTCCCTTAGTTTTTTCCTTTCTCCTACTCTCCTTTGTTTTTTCGCACTCTCCTTCTTTATTCAATAAATTTTCCCTTTTGTTAAAAGAAGTTTGGGATTCTAGTTCAAAATATACAACCGCTATGAATTTCATGGATTATCTTTCGATTTATAGATTAAAAATGAGATTAAGAATAATCATAATAACAATGAGCATGAGATTCACCTAAACATTTTACTAGTTATTTGCCAATTATTATGTGTACAATGTCCCTAATATATTCTTGAGTCCTATTAAGGAAGTTGGAATATAGTTTTCGTTACGTGTAAATCTCATTACATCTTACAGTCATTTATAAAAAACCTTGTTGAATATTAATACATCACTACATCACACGTGCACCATACAAGATTAGATATATTTCTATTCTCGATACTTATATGATCTTTAATATGACATCAATATTGCACATAACAAAGTTAAAAAAAAATGAAGTTTCAAATGATAAAAGATTGTAGGCCCAAAATATTTCATTGATAGATTCAAATGTTAATATCGAGATCTCATAGTTAAATTATACTCCGTATTTAGGAAGTGTTTGCAAATGCTTATGCTTAAAAAACACTTTTTGAAGTTATTTTGGAAAAAGTGATTAATAGTAAAAGTTGATAATGTTTGAAAAAAAGGATTTTGAAAAGTAAAAGTTGGTAGTGTTTGGTAAAATATGTGCTCTTTGTGTAATAGAAAAAATAAAGAGCAATTTCAGTCAAAAGCCGAGAAACACTTTTTAAAATAGAAATTGTTTCTAATTTGCAGACGGGACCTAGCCGCGGCTAGGGTTTCTTTGGTCGCGTAAGGCTTCTTGCGCAGTTTTGTTTCTACGGCAAGTTTCACGGCAAGCATCGGCGGCAAGAGGAAGAGACTGCAGACTCAAGCCTCTCATTTTCTACGGTACTCAGTGCAATCTTAAGCTTCTTCTCAAGGCAGCAGCTCGGCTATCGGCATAGCGTGAGGTCTGAACTCGTTTTGGAAAAACGGAATGGAGATCGGACACAACAAGGACGATGTTGAAGCGCTAGCACAGGCGTACGGACTGTTGGAGATGGAAGAGGAAGATGAATTCCTAATTGTTGAGCCTGTAAGGAATAATTGTAATTAGATTTTGATGATGCTATATTAATTAGGACTTTAGAGTACCCCGCTTTAGAAAATTGTATTAGAAATTTTCTTTGTGTAATGTCTTTCTTAGTATAGTCGACTGACAGAAGACCTCCAGACAGAAGCTGGTTTGGCCCTCTGGTGAACCTCTATCCTGACAGAAGACCTTCTGGTTCTCTGTTGGACTACACCAGAACTTGAGTAACAAAAGGTCCTCTGTTGGCCTCTATCTTGACAGAAGACCTAAGGACCCTCTGGTAGCTTTTATCCCAACATAAGTTCTCGAGACCCTCTCTGGTAGCTTCTCTGCTAAAGATACCAGAAGGCCTGACACTTAGAGAATTTCCATGAATCTACCTTAGCCGGTGAAACCAACGGAAGATTCCCTCAACGGCTAGAAGACTTCAATGGAAAAGCTACAGTACGCGCATTAAATGTTCATTTAATGCACCCCGTACGTTGAAGAGTAAAAGCTGATGATTGGCCGACATTCCAGGATATTTCAGGATAACTTTATCCCAAAATAGCAACTCGCCAACTTTACCGGGTCCTACTGGTCAAGTCAACTGTATGCACATTTAATGTAGTTGTCCTCCTCCTCCAACGGGAAGACAACCCCAGTATAAAAGATACTACTTGAAGAACAACCGCAGAACTTTTGCAAAAAAACTTAGCTCAAACTTTTGCTCGAACAATATATTCAAATATTTAAAACTCACAAGGAGGAAAACCTAATGACCGGAAAGGCTGTGGTGGCGCCGCCACTCACTGACGGCGGAAGCGGGGGTGGAGTTTGGCATCAAAAATCCTTTGCGGATGTGGTTGCTGGCCGATCAATTTTATCTCCAGAAAAATCAAGGTTCAAAGGAATGCCATCAATCTCTTTTTCAAACGATGATGTTCAAAAGCTGGCTGACAAACATAAACTTGTTTTGGTTGGATACTTTTTTAAAGTTAAACCCAGCCTTGTGGTCATGCGAAAAGCGTTTGAAATAATTGGATTTAAAGGCTCGTTTCATTTGGGAGTGTTGGATTCGAAACACGTGCTAATTCGTTTTGATTTGGAAGAGGATTTTATTCGATGTTGGAATAGACAATCTTGGATTATTCAGGGTCATGTGATGAGAGTCACTAAATGGACTCCGGAATTTCGACCTAATGTCGAATCTCCGGTGGTTCCGGTCTGGATCACGTTGGAAGGACTTTCGATTCATCTACATGATAAATCTGCCTTATTTGCTATTGCTAGTTTAGTGGGTAAGCCTTTAAAGCTTGATGAAGCTACGGAAACACTTGCAAGTCCTGCTTTGGCCAGGATCTTTGTTGAAATTGATCTCACCAAAGAGATGCCCTCTAAGGTGTGGATCAATAGTGGTGTTAATGGTTTCTCCCAGTCTGTTGGGTATGAAAACAGGTCGGAATATTGCAGTGTCTGCCTTCATTTAGGCCATTCTCACACCAAATGTCCTAAAAGACAACCTGAACATGTTTCAAATTTGGCCAAAGACAGAGGGATGCAGAAGAAGGAGATAGTGAAAGACAGGCGATACACATGGTAAGAAAAAGGAAAAGATAAGATTACAAATCATTATGAGCTATTCAAGCAATCTACATCTAAGATTCAAGTGGAGGAAGTCCAATCTGATACTGAAGCTGAGGTTGAGGAGATCTTCCTTGATTCCATAGAGCAACCTGTGGGGGAGGATATTAACAAAATTAAATTCTTATTAGAAACAGATATAGCAGGGCTAAGCAAATCAGACCCCAAGGACATTAAAGGTATTCAGGATGACATTTTCATTAATGAACTCTCAAGTGTCCTTGGAAATAAGGCTCAGGTGATGATTAGAGACTGTTATTCAGATGGGGAGGAGAACCAACCTATTAATCCAGCTGGGCTCTTGGTAGGCTAGGATGCAATATGCACAGGAGTTGAGAACTTAGTCACCTCTTGTCAGGTTGATCATATTGTTAATAACACCACTGAACATGTTGCCCATTCTGAGGATGATCCTGCAATTATCAGTGAGGATCATTTGGAATTGAACAACAAAATTACTAAAAGAATACCCAGGAAGCAAATCACCACAGAAAATCAACAAAAGAGAAACACTAGAAGTGCAGCTAGGGGAGGGGCATCTGTTTCCCAATGAATTGTCTAATTTGGAATACTAGTGGTCTTGAATCCTCCAGTTCAAGACTTAATTCCCTAGTTCATACTTGGAGAATACAACTACTCATTATCATTGAACCTATTGTGGCTAACAGCAAAATTGAATTGTACAAAACTATTATTGGTTTTGACAAAGCTATTCAGTCCTCTATCAGTAAAATATGGATTTTTTGGGATTCTGTCAGTCTGGACATTTCAGACACTATCTGGAATGAACAATATGTTCATATCAGAGTTAATAGTTCTCTTTACAAAGGATGGATTACTGGAATTTATGGTGGACACACATATACTGTTAGAAGAATGCTTTGGGATGGATTAATCTCTTTTTGTTCCACTTTACAAGAACCTTGGATGGTAGAGGGTGATTTCAATGCTATTGCAAGCTACAATGAACATAAAGGAAACTCCGTACCCACTCTTCATGATGTTAATGATTTTGCTGATTGCATTGCTGCCTGCAATTTGATTGATCTACCTTTTACTGGGCCTAAATATTCCTGGTCAGGTAATAGAGTCAATGGAAGAGTTTGGAGGAGATTAGACAGGGTTCTTTTCAATAATCACTATCTATAATCTTTTGACAATATTCAGATTTCCTTGTTGAATAAAAGTCCTTCAGATCATAATCCTATACTCATCTAATCATCTAATCAAGGCTGGTCTGGGCCTAAGAGCTTTAAATTTCAAAATATGTGGCTCAGTAATCATTCTTTTATGGTTCTAGTCAAAGATAAATGGAGCTCTGTGGGCCATCAAGGGGGTATGAGAGGATTATTACTAAGGTTGCAGAATTTGAAGAAGGAACTCAAAACGTGGAATTCAGAATCTTTTGGTAATATTTTTTATGCTATTAAACATGGGGAGGATGAGGTGTTAAAGGCTGAAATGTTATTTGAAGAAAACCCAAGTGAGCTAAATAGGGAAGACTGATTTTACAAAAAATCCTTGTTGACTCAGAAGTATAAACAGGAAAAGAAGTTTTGGAAACAAAAAGCCCATATCCGGTGGCTCAAGGAAGGGGATAGCAACACAAAATTTTCCATTCTTTTGTTCAGGTGAGAAGAAGGAAACAGAGTATTACCTTCATCAAAAATCAGGCTGGTCAAGATGTTCACATTCCATCAAATTTTAAGTTGCGTAATTTCAAACCCCTAATTATCATATGGCTCAGACCCACTCAGCGATGGAAACTCAATATAGATGTGTGCTACCTACCTGATAGAGCTTATGGAGGTGCGATTCTTCGTAACCAGAGTGGAGGCTTCGAAACAGCTTTATGCCTTCCGCTGGTTTGCCGCTCTCCCCTTGACGTAGAACTTAAGGCGATCTTCTATGCGGTCGCCTGGGCGGTTGATGTTGGATATGACGATCTTCAGATTGAGATAGATTCATCTCTTGCACTCGGGTACATCGCAGGAGGAAATGGAAGAAGGTGGGAGAATGAACTTAAGGAAATCTTACATATCCGAAATAGGAAATGGATGACTTTTGGACATACTTACCGGGAAGGTAATTGGGCTGCTCACCATTTGGCCCAGGAGAGAGTTGATAGCCCAAAATTCATTTTTAGCCTTGATATACTTCCCCCTATTGTTAAAAGAGCTTATTGGATGGATTATTTTGGAATTCCCTCTTTTAGATTCTAATTCTTGTCGATTTATTTTTCGGGTTTTGGCTTGGTCCCCCCGAATTGTATTTTTGTACTCATCCTTTAATAAAATTATGGCATATGTCCCCCGTCATTTGCCCCACTGATTTTGGTGGTTTGCCTTCCGGGGTAAAAAAAAATTAAAACTCACAAGCCTTCTTGAGATTCAAACTCCATTCATTCACAAGAAAGACGGACGTTGGGAAGATAATATTTTCCTATCCTCACATCCCAACAAGAGCAAAGTTCCAACGGTTCTTCAACACTTCAAGCACTTCAACTACACATCATTTGTGACGAAGCAAGTTGGAAAACCCACAAGAACTCTTCTTTAAATAGAAGGACGTTCAAGTAACTGGAGTAGTGAAGTGGAGATACTTCAAGAAAGCTCAGTGAAAGAACTAATCTCAAAGGAAACAATGAAGTGAATCCCAGGAGACATCTAAGTTTGAAGAAGACATGGAGAACCACGAAGATGAAGAGAGAGAATCTCCATCTTCTCTCTAAAACACCTAGCAATAAATTCTAAAGACAATGAATTTCCGGCAATGCAGCCGCCGGAATAAAGAACCTTTATTCAAGGGTAATCAATACAATACACAAAGGTTCAGTCAATGCTCCAGCTACAGAGATGTTTCACCATTCCGTTATCTGCAGCCCCAATACAGATCCTCAATGGGCAGAATCAACAAGAATGAGGAGGAAGCACCAACAGGATTTGGCTTCCGACATCCTAACGCATGCCCCTGGCGCTGCATCAATCAACTACACAGGCAATGCTTTGAAGGAATCGACCACAGGCACAGCGTACAGGGAGACCACTCAAGTAGTTACGCAGCTCCTTATCACAAATCCAGGTATCACCATAACTCCAAATCGAACTTGGCAAAGTACGACTCTGAAACAGGGCCTCACTACCTGGTACGGCGATGAGAAGCTCGGCCACATCCCCACTCCTTTAACAGCCTCACCATAGGGGAAACCTCAGGCGGGTGGCGCACCATCAACAGGAAACGTCGCAAGTTTGTCCGTTCTTACCAGTTCAACTCTGCGCACCAACACACCATCGCAGATAAGTTCAGAGATTCTGGTAACTCCAATAGATTTCAAACCTTTATTGATTTATCTCCACAAATAGGTGAACTGGACAATCATCCCTTCAATGATTACCAGACACCTTGGGAAGATGATTTCGTAGAGGTGAGAAGAATCCCAAACGTCCGGATATCTAATACAAGAAACGCAGTCAATCGCACAGCTGGGAACTCACCGAAGTACATCGGCTCCACCCGAAGACCAGGAATCTCTTCGCCGGAGGCCAGAACACAGCCAATCGAGGGCAATCTTCACCAACGAACTCCGGAACTCAGAATCAAGGAAATCTCTAAGCCAAACCCTCCACCACTTGCAGCGAAGGGGGCGTTCACAGATTTGTCAGTCGTCGGCAGTGAAGATGTGGTGGGGACTCTATCACCTGCAACGGCTGCAAGGCATCGAGCATTCACATGGGCGGATTTAGTCAAGGACGTCACGGACAAAGGGAAAGCAGGCGTACCACAGGTCACGGAGGGCCCTGCGCTCTATTCAGGCTACACGAAAATAATTCAATCCTCTGATTAGGCGGGTCCCTCCGGATCAAAAAATCAAACTGGTATTACGGAAAGGGTCGAAGTAAACCACGCAGCAGTTGATTTACTCAAAGTTGGTGAAAAATTTCCCGTTCTTTGGAGAATATGGATTTGACTTGGTCAGAATTGAAAGTAAATCCTTTAAATTCGTAGTGAAAAACGGAGACTTCTTAAGTACTAGGACTAAGGCTCTGTAATTGGATTTTTTACAAGCTTAATGGAACAGTGGATTAGAGGAACGAGTTATTCCTTGAATCACTATAAAAATCTCTGGTGTCATTACGTACTCCTTTTATTTCTTGTATTTACTTTGAATTGTTTAACTATAGAGATTTGGTCTCTGTGTTCAGCAGAACCCCTTCTGTGAGTTAACAGAAGGCCTATTGCCTTTGTTTCTTTTAGAGGCTATCCGGACAGAACACCTACCAGAAAACCATCCGCTGCCAGTCTGTTCTGACAACAGAACAGGTTATTTTGTTAAATCTGGTACTTAGCTTGAAAAAGTTAAAAACCAGTACAGTCTATTCACCCCCTCTAGACTGTACCCAATACAACCGGGACCAACAAGTGGTATCAGAGCCTCCTTGTTCTGATAATGTTTTAGGTTATTTACTGAACAAAGATCCACTTGTTTTCTTTCTGTCTCTCTTTTAATCTCTTATTATGGATCACTCTCTTTCCGAGAATCTTATGTTTTCAGATCTTAAGTTTGATGATTGGAGGATCCGGATGAAGGCACGTCTTTGTGCACTTCATGATGAAATGTGGGAAGTACTTGACATAGGGCCATTCACTAACTTTCAGAAGGTCAATCCTGAATATGCCATTGACAACACACGACCTCAGATGATCAACAAGGCCAAATCTGAGTGGACCACTGAAGAGAGGAGAAAATACAACTTGGACAACATTGCAAAGGACATCCTCTACAAGTCCATTGATGACAGATACTTCAACAGAATCAAGAAGTGAAAGAATGCCAAAGAAATCTGGGATACTCTTGAGCTCGTTGGAGCAGGTGATGAGCAAGAGAAGGATAACAAACTAATCATTGTCAACAAGAATTTGATGATTTCAAACTTCTCCCTAATGAAAGCATCTCCAAGATGTATGACAGACTCCTTACTCTCACTGGAGAAATCTCTGAACTTGGCAAGGAACTCACCACCAAGGAGATACACCTCGAAGTGTTGAGAGGTCTACCCTCAGCATGGAAGATGAAGGTGGTTGCTGTTCACGCCAGCAAGGATGTGAAGACTTATCCAACAGACAAGCTGTAATACTCGAGATTAATTTAAGGGGATTAATAGTACTACTCATACCAACAAGATGCATCTCCTTTTAAGGGAGCTCATCACCCAAGAACTCCAAAGTTAAGCGTGCTTGCATGGGAGTAGTCTTGGGATGGGTGACCCCCTGGGAAGTTTCTCAGGGCGTGCACGAGTGAGGACAAAGTGCGTGGAAAAGGCTAGTGGCGGTTTGTGAGGACAGTACTAGAGTTCAGAAGTAACTACCTCGGGTCCTGCGTGACCGGGGGTGTTATATGTGGTATCAGAGCAACCCTGTGACAGTGTGTTGACCCGTAAGATATCGGGCAGGCACTTAGCGAGGGGGGAAATTTTGGGATTTGAATGAGATTTGGTTTAAGGACGCAACGAAGACATTGCGATCCTAAGTGGGGGTGATTGTAATACCCGAGATTAATTTAAGAGGATTAATAGTACTACTCATACCAACAAGATGCATCTCCTTTTAAGGGAGCTCATCACCCAAGAACTCCAAAGTTAAGCGTGCTTGCACGGGAGTAGTCTTGGGATGGGTGATCCCCTGGGAAGTTTCTCAGGGCGCGCACGAGTGAGGACAAAATGCGCAGAAAAGGCTAGTGGCGGTTTAAGAGGACAGTACTAGAGGTCAGAAGTAACTACTTCAGGACCTACGAGGCCGAGATGTTACACAAGCTCATCTCAGAACTCAAAGCTCATGAGTTCGAGATGATTGAAGAAAAGGAAGATGTACCAGAAGAGAGGACCACCACAGCCCTCATAGCTAGTACATCTAAGGTAAATGATTTTGACCCTTCAATACTTTTATCTGACGAATATATGGCTGCTTTTTCCAGAAGGTTCAAAAAGTTCATGAAGAAACCAAAATATGGAAGAAATCCATCTACGAGCAGAAAACCATTCCAGAAGACCAAATCTGCAGAGAGTAGAGGAGAGCTTCTCTGCTACAACTGCAGGCAGCCTGGACATTTCAAGGCAAATTGTCCTCACCCCAGAGTGTCCAATAGACAAGGACAAGATGGAGAAAAGAAATATGAAGACAATTCTAGAAGAAGGAAGTCACTTGTCACAGAACAGTTCGAAAAAGACCCTCTTTCTGAGACAGAATCCAATTCTGATTCTGAGTCTGATGAGGCCTTCTGTTGCGTAGATGCTGGAACAGAAGACCTATGCCTCATGGCCCAATCTGATGATGAGGTAACCTCCTCTTCTAACTCTCGTTTTTCTTCGGTAGACACAACTTTAAATGATGATGCAATGTCATCATTGTGGGAAGAGTTTAGAACTATTCAGACCACTTATTCTTTAGTCAAAGAAGAAAACAGTAAGCTAAAAGTTGAAATCTCTGACTTAAGAAAAGAGACTGAGGTAAAAATCAATCTCTTGATTGAGGAAAGGGATGAACTTGAAGCTGAAAATGTTTCTCTTCTAGATAGAATAAGAGAAATTAAGCATTTTGAGGTCAGATACAATAGCCTTATGAAAATGCAAACTTCTCTAAAGGTTGTTGATATTGATCAAATGCTTTCCCCCGTTTCTGGTCTTGGATATGTTGCAACAGAATCCAGTGAGCCTTCTGTAAGGCCTAGCACCAAAGTTGCTAAGGTTGATAAAGTCATAGAGCCACGGATTTCTAGCTCCATCTGTCATGCTGGTTTATCTGGCACTAAGATTTGTCATGAGGAAGTTAGACCAGAAAAAGGAAAGATAAAGGTTCAACAGAAACCCACTTTGAAAATTAATGAACCTGGCAGAAAACCTAACAACAGAAAAGGTTTTCAGAAAAATCATAGGCAAACCCTCAACAGACAACCTCATGATAACCGTGCTAGAAATGATCACCAGAAAGGCAGGTATCAAGAGAAAGTTAACTTTAGGCAAAAGAGGTTGGCTGGTCAACTTCAGAAGCCCAAAGCTAACCGCTCATCTGCTCTTGATAGCATATGGGACTTCTTTCCTACCAAGAAAGCAATGCAAAAATATGTAAACATGAAGCATGACCCTCACAAACATTTGCCCAAGGTGAATCACACTTCAGTTTAATATGACTACCAGGTGGGCAATGGGTACCACCCACCAAGGTTTCACTTGATGAGACCAAAATGGTACCAACTACCAAGACTCCATGACCCTCTAGGACCCAACATTGATTGGGTACCTAAATCTTTCTTTTAATTCTGCAGGAACATTGTGCTGGAGCTATCTCTGAACAAAATGGTTTATTGATAGTGGATGCTCCAGACACATGACAGGTGACAGAAGTTGCCTAACTGAGTTCCAGAAATGCAAAGGACAAAGAAGGTCAAACAAAAGGAAGAGGCAAGTTGATCAAGGACTAGATAATCATTGATTATGTCTCATATGTCAAAGACCTGAAGTTCAACCTACTAAGTGCTAGCCAATTCTATGATAAAGGCTACATTGTTGAATTCACAAAGGATTTCTGCTATGTGAAGAATGAGACAACAAAGGAAGTGGTTCTTACAGCAACAAGGAAGAAGAATATCTATGTGGGTTATTGGAAAACTGCAAAAGATGGAGTTTGCCTGATAGCCAAGGGAGATTCAAAACTAAGCTGGGACTAACACAAGAAGCTTAGCCATTTGAATTTCAACACAATCAACAAACTAGCAAGAGAACATATTGTAGAAGGACTGCCACAAATTGTCTACAAAAAGAGACCCTCTACAGTTCATTCTAGAAGGGAAAAAAGTGAAAAACACATTCAAACCCATTGCTGGAGATCTCTCCACTAGTCCTTTAAATCTCATTCACATGGATTTATTTGGACCAGTTGAGACTCCAAGTGTTGGTGGAAAGAAATACACACTAGTCATGGTTGATGATTACTCCAGATATACATGGACAATCTTTTTGACAAAGAAAAATGAAACTCTTCAGAAGTTGCCCTCTCTGTGATAAAGGCTACACTGTTGAATTCACAAAGGATTTCTGCTATGTGAAGCATGAGACAACAAAGGAAGTGGTTCTTACAGCAACAAGGAAGAAGAATATCTATGTGGGTTAATGGAAAACTGCAAAAGATGGAGTTTGCCTGATAGCCAAGGGAGATTCAAAACTAAGCTGGGACTGACACAAGAACCTTAGCCATTTGAATTTCAACACAATCAACAAACTAGCAAGAGAACATATTGTAGAAGGACTGTCAGACATTGTCTACAAGAAAGAGACCCTCTACAATTCATTCCTGGAGGGAAAACAAGTCAAAAACACATTCAAACCCATTGCTAGAGATCTCTCCACTAGTCCTTTAAATCTCATTCACATGGATTTATTTGGACCAGTTGAGACTCCAAGTGTTGGTGGAAAGAAATACACACTAGTCATGGTTGATGACTACTCCAGATATACATGAACAATCTTTTTGACAAAGAAAAATGAAACTCTTCAGAAGTTGCCCTCTCTGTGATAAAGGCTACACTGTTGAATTCACAAAGGATTTCTGCTATGTGAAGCATGAGACAACAAAGGAAGTGGTTCTTACAGCAACAAGGAAGAAGAATATCTATGTGGGTTATTGGAAAACTGCAAAAGATGGAGTTTGCCTGATAGCCAAGGGAGATTCAAAACTAAGCTGGGACTGACACAAGAAGCTTAGCCATTTGAATTTCAACACAATCAACAAACTAGCAAGAGAACATACTGTAGAAGGACTGCCAGACATTGTCTACAAGAAAGAGACCCTCTACAGTTCATTCCTGAAGGGAAAACAAGTCAAAAACACATTCAAACCCATTGCTAGAGATCTCTCCACTAGTCCTTTAAATCTCATTCACATGGATTTATTTGGACCAGTTGAGACTTCAAGTGTTGGTGGAAAGAAATACACACTAGTCATGGTTGATGACTACTCCAGATATACATGGACAATCTTTTTGAAAAAGAAAAATGAAACTCTTCAGAAGTTGCCCTCTCTGTGATAAAGGTTACACTGTTGAATTCACAAATGATTTCTGCTATGTGAAGCATGAGACAACAAAGGAAGT